TATACTTCCCTTTTGGGTGTTTAAGGACATACAATTGGACCAGATAAAATTTAATTATTTTTTAAAATCCTTGTGAGATGTTTCTTGTTAACTTCTTTCTTATGGATGAGAAATTAGAGGCTTGGGTTCAAATCCCTTTCTAAGATTAGCCAGTAAGTGATCTAATCCAGATTTACCTCAGGTCAAACACTATGCTCTTAACCATTCAATAACACTGTCTTCAATAACACTTGTTCATATCCATGATTATTAAAGAAAAAAACATAAATGAGAAAAAAAATAAAGGAAAAATCTGAGAAGAAATAACCATGTTCCTGACTGATTAAGAAACACTATCTAAGCCAGGCATGGTGGCGCACGCCTGTAATCCCAGCACTCGGGAGGCAGAGGCAGGTGGATCTCTGTGAGTTTGAGGCCACCTTGGTCTACAAAGTGAGTTCCAGGCCAGCTGGGGCTACAGGGAGACCCTGTCTCAAACACTCCCCCACGCACACACACAAAGAAACACTATCTAATGAGTATGCCTTATATAATGTCAGTTTAACATAATCTAATTCAACACATAGACGTCATATAATGCAAACAACTCTATTTCAACATATAGACTTTACATACTTATAATTTAAATATTTATTGGATAATCTTAATGAATATACACCTAAGATATTTATTAATAGCAACTTTACAACAGAGAAACTCTTTAGTCACTTTTCTTTTGTTTATTAAAACAGGGTCTCACTATGTAGCCCCGCCTGCCTTAAAATCACAATGATCCTGGTTCCAGCTCCTGGGTGCTGGGATTACAGGTATGTGCTGCCACACCAGGCTTCATTATATATTCCTCATGATATGATGAGATAGGCATATCACCTGTGTGTCATTCAAGCCAAACATCATACTCCCAATAAAAGCATGAAAAATCATGAGATAGGCACAAATTGTGATATTTTCTACCATATTTGACAAGAATTGACTTCAAATGCACAGGGGAACAATTCAGGGTGATAGACATACTCTATATATTAATAAAGTAGATGCTTAATACAGCTATACCTATTTCTCAAGAGTCAGCAACCTATACCCTTAAAATTACTGAATTTTATTCTAGTTGAAGCTTCAAAAAAGTTGGTTTAAAGTGTGTTTAGAGCTAAGAGCATAGCTCAGTGGCAGGGCATGCACTTAGGATGCATGAGGCCCTAAGTGCAATCCCCAGCACACACACGAACATATTTAAATTTAATAAAATCCTATAGAGGAAATATTACCTTCCCATATTCCCAAGCTTCTTCATTCTATTGTCTTCATTTTCACATCTTTCTGGCTAGGCTCTGAGCCACCCTTAAATTGAAGGCCTCTGTCTTGTTCCTTCTATTTGTGGAGGCCCCAAGTAGGAACTTGGATGCCCCCCCTTGATGATAACTTCCCTCCCACATCCCAGCTACATTTCGGTTGTTGTGATAAAACAATCTGACCAAAAGCAACTTGGG